GATGAAGCGTCCCGTCACCGGTGGAACTCTCCGGAAGTCCAGCACGCTGCACAAAACACACATATTCACACATTAATGGCTTGCCATCTGATTCAGTGATCATTTCAACCTGATTCTTGACAATGAAGCCTCTTTACATTATATGTGTCCCTGCAGCACAAAAGCAGTGTTGAGTCGCTGGGGGATATTTGTAGCAATAGCCAACAATACATTGTATGGGTCACAATTATACATTTCTCTTTTATGCCAAAAATCATTAGGATATTAAGTAAAGATCATGTTCCATGAAGATATTTAGTAAATGTCCTACTGTAAATATATCAAAACTTAATGTTTGATTAGTAATATGCATTGCTAAGAACTTCATTTGAACAACTTTAAAGATGATTTTCTCAATATTTAGATTTTTTTGCACCCTCAGATTCCAGATTTTCAAATATTGTGCTATCCTAACAAACCATACATCAATGGAAATATTATTTGTTCAGCTCCAGGGTCACTTATTTTGAGTGAGAGATCATCCTAAAATATCAAAATAGGTTTGCTAATGGAATTTCAAGGCAATCATAAAGGGATTAAATAATAATATGCAATTCAACAGATTGATTATAAGAGGATTTTTAATTCATCTCCAACCTATAATAGCAATTCCACTGCTTTCCTTCAGCGAGTCATTATTCTTCATCTTCAGAGATTACGCTGAGTGTTTAATCAAGGAATAACCTGCAGGAAAACCCCCTTCTCTCCAGTGGCTTTGCTTACACCACTAATGACAGGGTGGATCTCTTGGGGAAGTTTTCCTCGCCGCTGTCGACAGGCCTGTTCTCTGGCGGTTTGCTCTTTGTAAAGCTGCTTTAGAAATGATATGCATTGTGAAAAGCACTATCCGAATGAACTGAACTGAACTGTAAACCCTCAGACTTCAGAAACGCTCTCAGTGAGAATTCAGCAACATGTTTTACAATAGCTAACAATACGACAACAATATCAAGGCGAAGTATGTAATAACTGCACCGCTTGCGTTGGTCGAACAAATAGATAGAGCCCACCCATTTTTCTCCCATCCATCCATCCATCCATCCATCTATCCATCCATCCATCATCT